AAATTAAATTTGCAACCAATGTTAGCTAATATATATGGGATTCGGTTAATGTCTTTGTAGTTTTGGATGTCATTACTAAATTAATATATCATAATCAAGGGATGCGATGAAGAAGCCAACCGATGTTATTGTGTTAACAGGGATAGACAGGCAGATAAGAGGAAGTATGGTTGCAAATGAGCTTTTTAGAGTTATGCTTCTTAAATAATGTGAAGACACTATTTTAATATTACCTCTCGCTTGCTTGCTGCATAATTATCCTAATTACCGCTAAAATATATTTAAAAATGTGTCGTGGTCCCTGAGTTGAACATTTTAAAATCTGCTCGAATTTCATAAATTAGATATTCCCGCTTTCTCCTTTGTTAATCATCCTTCCAATTTATGGATGAAAAAGTAGACAATTTCCTATGCCTAAAGTACTGTAAATTTTTGTCTAATACTGCTACTGTTTCGTAGTAATTTAGTGCCCTTTTATTGAAAATAATGGTTAATGAAATCACTGCATATATGTTTATAAAAACTATTCCTTTTCGGTGCTTCTGATTCCTTTGGATTAGCTTTAAATTCTTCCATACGCAAACATAGATTCCATTTTGATCTCTACCTATAGCGTTAATCATTTTAAATTTGAGTGTTGACCGTACGGCAGCTTCCCTTTATACTACAGGAAACCAAGAATAAATTTGGGGCGTAACAATGTCCCGTAAACTGCTGAAAACCATTACAAATTATACTTTGACACCCATTACTTGGGATTTTTAATATATCGGGTTGAAACTGTGGGCACATATCAATTATAATATCGGAAACAGTTTGCAATCGGTGACCCATGGGAATCTTGTCTGACTTGCACCATACCTGTTACTTATGCACTAAGATCGTTGGAAAATCACCCTAACACTACTGGTCATTAAGCATAGCATCTTAGTTACATAATCGGGATTTACCAAGTTGTTTTAAGATGAATCCCCGAAACATTCTTCAACTAGGGAAAGTTTACTCTGCTTCTGTGTAACAGTCCTCACCTGCGCACACCGCTCCTTCGTTGACTGGCTTCCTTGACAAACTCCAGGGCACTAGTATTGTTATAAAACACAGCTAGAAATCTCTCAAATAATATAATAATAATAATAATAATAATAATAATAATAACAAGAACAAAGAAACACCATAAATACAAGTAACGCAACATGCACTACAAAGACAGGTCCATCCAATAAAGTTACACGCCCTAGCACATTTAAAAAACACAAAACTCCTTCTTCACAGAAAAGCACCACATTTTCACAACCCACTCGTATTCAACCGAAACGCAAAAACCTTAACAGAACTACAGGCTCACAACATACTAAAATATCTCCAGCAAAAACCCAAGCAACCTCTCAAATACTACCTCAAGAACAAAGAAACACCATAAATACAACTAACGCAACATGCACTACAAAGACAGGTCCACCCAATAAAATTACACGCCCTAGCACATTTAAAAAACACAAAACTCCTTCTTCACAGAAACACACCACATTTTCACAACCCACTCGTATTCAACCGCAACGCAAAAACCTTAACAGAACTACCAGGCTCACAACATACTAAAATATCTCCACCAAAAACCCAAGCAATTTCACAAATACAACCTCAAGAACAAAGAAACATCATAAATACAAGTAACGCAACATGCACTACAAAGACAGGTCCACCCAATAAAGTTACACGCCCTAGCACAATTAAAAAACACCTAACTCCTTCTTCACCGAAGCACACCACGTTATCACAACCCACTCGTATTCAACCCAAACGCAAAAACCTATACAGCACTACTAGCTCACAAAATACTGTAATATCTCCATCAACAACCCAAGCAACCTCACAAATACAACCTCAAGAACAAAGAAACACCATAAACACAAGTAACGCAACATGTACTACAAAGACAGGTCCATCCAATAAAGTTACACGCCCTAGCACAGTTAAAAAACACAATACTCCTTCTTCTCAGAAACAACCCACTCGTATACAACCGAAACGCAAAAACCTTAACAGCACCACAGGCTCACAAAATACTGCAATATCTCCACCAAAAACCCAAGAAACCTCACAAATACGACCTCAGGAACAAAGAAACACCATAAATACAATTAAAAAACACAAAACTCCTTCTTCACAGAAACACACCACGTTATCACAACCCACTAGTATTCGTATTCAACCCAAACGCAAAGCCAAAGAAACACTTACACAATAAACTCCATTTAATAAAATTACAGGAATTATTATAATGATTTTTTTTTGTTTTCCTCTTTCCTGATAGCGTTGGCTATTGTGCCCATCAATAGGTATGTTGGTAAGTACGAATTACATTATCCCTAGATGTCCAATGTACGTGTGTGATTTTTTTTTTTTTTTTTTTTTTTTTTTTTTTAAGGACCCTACATAACTTCACCAGACACAGGCACAGACACTAATCGTTACTTGATTTTAATCCGTGCGATTAGTTAACCAGGCTAGACCTGAGTTCTCACAAGAAACACCGACCATAATAATAATAATGTTTGAAATGTTTATTCATGATTAATTCCCAATGTTAGAGGTCCAACCAAGTTTAGGATAAACTTATCGGTTGGTTCCTTATAGTAAGGTAAGTATACATTTTTTTACATTATTGAATGTTACACAAAAATATTAATCAATAGATATTTGTCTCACGCATTAACATTTCGTGTAATCAAAGCAAAGAATAGGTTATATTTGATTTCAGGTCCCCTGTATGAGCCATTTTCTAACTTCTTTTTTGAAGGTTCCAATTTGTTGAACGTTGAGGATATCTCTAGGTAAGGAATTATACAGTGTTGGTATGGTAAATTCTAATGTTCTTTTTCCATATTTGTTGTAGCAATAGGGCACTGCGTACATGGTTCTTCGGGTTCCATACGAATGCGGTAAGGGTATTTTGAATTCGTTGACATCAAAGTGCTTCAGTAAATTGAGGTACTTGTAAAATCCGGTTGATGTTAACGTATTTGTATATTGCAGCAAATCTTGTGTTTGCAGGTGATTATTTCCAGGAATCAGCTTAAGCAGTCGTAATTGGAGCGAGTTGAGTTTTTTTACGTAGGATAGATCTGCACATCCCCATACGCATATTGCGTATCTGAGAAGTGACTCAATTAGTGCTTTGTAAACTATTTCCATGGTTTTTTTTATTGGCAAATCTGCTCAATAAATAAAAGCTTCCTGATATTTTCTTTATCTTTGAGTGTAGATATTGTATATGCTTATCGTATGTAAGTGATGAGTCGATTATTAGTCCCAAATATTTAATATCGTTCACGATTTCTATGGTACTGCAACAGCATACCTTGCTCTGACCGAAATTGCAATGACAAGTATGCATTATAATTCTTGGTTTGCTTACTTTTTGCATATGTGAAGTGTGGAATAACATCGCTTTAGTTTTTTCTGGATTGGTGAAGAGTTTATAATTATGCATCCATTTGCAGACTTTATTTAATTCTTCCTGAATCACACGTTGGCAGGTATTAACGTCGCGATGCGAGTACATTAATATGGCATCGTCAGCATACATAAACAGTTCAGTTAATTTAACGTTTTTGAAAATGCCATTGACGTAGATTAAAAATAATATAGGGCCAAGGTTGCTTCCTTGTGGTACTCCACACTTGACGGTATGTTCTTCACTAAAAGCGTTGCCAACTTTCACTAAACACTTTCGATTGTTTAAATAACTTTTAAACCAATCCAACTGCCTGTTTATAATGCCTATTTTTTCCAAGCATTCGATCAAGATTGTTTGATTTACAGTATCAAATGCCTTTGATAGATCTATAAATATCGCGAGGGTGTAGTGATTTTTATTCATCTGGTTATTTATATAATTGGTCACTTTAATTAAGGCTTGTTCAGTGCTTTTGTTTTTTTGGAACCCAAATTGTCTTTCTTGTATTAGATTATTTTGTTTTAAATAACTGTTTAAGTGTTTCACTACATAAGTTTCAAGGATTTTATCTATAACCGGTAATAGACTAATGGGTCGATAGTTTATGAAATCTGAGGGGTCACCTTTTTTAAACACTGGTCGGATTATAGCAGTTTTTAGCGCATTAGGAAAAAATCCTTGCTTTAATGAGTAATTTATAAGTTTAGAAAGTATTCCTTTAAATATGTGAATATTGTTTTTAATGCCAATCACTCGAATGTTATCCAACCCTGGAGATTTTTCTATTTTCAGTTTTTGAACGATGCCTTCTATTAGTTTATCGTCGCACATTGGAACATAAAAGTTTTGCGCTGCACTGGGTTCTTCATCGTCGCGAGGAATCTTGATCGGATGTTGACATTTGTGCAGTAGAGTCTCTATTTGTTGATCGAAGGTGTCAGCAAATTTTGTTGCTATTTCGCTTTGCGTATAGTTTGGTGTCAGCGACTTCAGAATTTTTTCATCCACGTTTCTACTTTTTTTCCTCGTCAGTATATGGTTAACTTCGTTCCACAGATTTTTGGTATTGTGCGCATTATTGGCCAATCTGCTCTGGAAAAATTTCTTCTTCGCGTTCTTTATTTCGTTATTGAGCCTATTTCGAAAAAGCTTGTAATTTGTGTGATGAACATTACAATTAGGGCACGATTTCCATTTTTTTAAAAGTTTGTCCCTCTCCTTCATCTTGTGATAGAGATCTTTGGTTATCCATCCTTTTCTTACGACGTTCTTGCCATTACCCACAGCAGATTCAATTTGATTATGGATGTAGAGTGCACGAAACTTGGTCATTATACTGTTGGCAAATTTGTTGACATCGGTATGTATCGTTTTCTCCCAATTTGTCTCAGCTACAGTTCTCTTCAAGTTGTACTCATTATATTTCAGGTCCAGTCCTCAATATTACAATAATTTGTTTACTATGTAGTATATGGTTCTTCTACTCTAGAGCACAATGTTTAAAGAAAATAAGCCCGGCCCTGCCTCATCATAATCCTGCCTCCTTGATGCTCCGCGCCCGGCTTCTCACTGTGTTTCTTGTGCTCAGAGCATCAACACGTTGCTGGTCTTCGCGACGTTTATTTCGTTCATTCGGCCTATTTGTTTTTTATTGTGTGATCTATCATTTCCTGGCGTAAGTAATTGTATTAATGTTACCCTAATTTTAGACAAATTTGGTCAGGTGTTTGTCGAAACACTTCACTCGTTCTATCGTCCATAGTTGAAATGGGAAAATCCAAAAGGAATAGAAGTCGTAGTTGCTCTGCGAGCAGCGAGGATGATCACGTATCGACTCGGAAACTTTTAAAGAAGTTGCGTAGGGAATTTAAGAGTATAAAACAACAACAATCTCGGATTTCCCGGTCTCGTAGTCGCAGCCGACGACGAGATTCCATTAGCGAGCCCCGCCATGAGGCTAGGCGACGGGTTCAGTCCCGAAGTCCGTGCGCACGCTCGCGTTCGCGGGGACGAAGCAGGTCCAGGAGTTTCCGTCGTCACGTACGCCGTGAACGTGAAACGAAAAGTGCCGCTCCAGCGCAGTTAGCGCCTTCGTCAACATCTTCTGCTATGCCGCGGGCTTCGCTCGAAACTGCGACGCTGTCACGTTCTGTAGATAATTCTGCTGATCGAGCTATTCGAAATGACGCCTGTAGCGTTGTTTCAGAGGGCAGTTTGGTAGATCTGGGTACCTGTAGTGCTCAATCTATTTTAGGCGATACGAGAGGTATATGTAATGCCACTCAGGAAAGGAAAATTGACGATGCCTGTAGCGTTTTGTCAAGTGAGTCCCGAGATAATGAACTTGTAATTCATAATGACGTATCTTTACCAGAGGATGTCATTGATATGCTCGGCGACGATCCAGAAAGCACTGCGGAAAACGGTTCATTGTTGCACAATGAACTTGCAAAAAGGTGGAAGGTTTTTTTGCAAAATGGCCTTAAAAAGGATGATTTATTAACGATCCTAAGTAAATATGACACACCCTCAAATTTATCTTTGCTAACGGCCCCGATTCTCAATCCAGAGGTTAAAGCCGCCTTACAAAAACCTATTCTTTCGGTAGATTTTTCTCACTCCGAGGGTCAAAATCAATTAGGAAAGGGGCTTTGTGCTCTAGGCAAAGCAATCTCTAATATCCTGGGAAATATTGAGAATATTCCCGGAGATATGAGGAGTGGTTTATTGACAGATCTGTTTAACTCCGGCCGTATACTTACTAATCTCTTCCATCGTGAATCTTGTTATAAGAAAAAATCTTATAACACCCCATTTAAAGAACCTGCAGGCGGTTGCCGAAAAATGCATGCCGGCCGAATTTCTGTTTGGAACAGATCTATCAGACAAGCTTAAGTCTCTCAAAGCTATTGAGAGTGCAAGTAAGGAACTTAAATCGGTGCCAAAACCTTTTTTTAATAGAAAGAGGGGGGGCGATACTGTAAGTGACCGAAGTAAACCCGGATCAAGTCGGCCTTTAAACGCGTTCAGGCCGGTCCGTCATTACCCCGAGACGAGGCCGGCCCGATCACAAAAATTTGCCTACCGGTCGGAACCAGCCAAGACTTATCGCAACAAAAACCAAAGCACGTGGAAGAAGAGGATTTAAAGGTAAGGAAAAATTTAAAATGCAATGCTGTTTATGCAGGTCGCCTCATTCATTTTTACTCAGTTTGGCTTTTTATAAATCCTTCCTCGATTGTTTTGAGTTGGATTAAAGGATATAAATTGCCTTTTATTCAAAAGCCAAATCAAGTAATTCTACGCCCAAAATCTTTTGGTCAGGAAGAAAGTAGCCAAATTAATAATGAAATTGCTAGCTTACTGAATATTGGGGCAATACAGAAATGTACTTTTTTGAAAGATCAGTTTCTGTCTTCAATATTCTTAGCCGATAAACCCAATGGCAAAAAACGTTTTATTTTGAATTTAAAACGTTTAAATAAATATGTTTATGCACCGCATTTTAAAATGGAGGATTTCAGAACAGCAAATAGGTTAATTCAGAAAAACTCGTTTGCAGCCTCTCTCGATTTAAAAGATGCATATTATTTACTTCCAATAGCACCAGCCCATAGAAAATATTTAAGATTTTCGTTTAATAACACCCTTTATGAATTTACCTGTTTGCCGTTTGGCCTGGCAACCGCGCCTTATACGTTCACGAAGCTTTTGCGACCGGTGGTTGAACATGTACGGTGTGCCAGGGGCGTGCTTTGTGTAAATTTTCTTGATGATTTTTTGGTTCTGGGGGCTACGAAGGACGAATGCACTCAAAGTGTTCAAATTCTCAGGTCCACATTAGAATCATTGGGATTCATTGTAAATTTGGAAAAAAGTGTGCTTTTTCCGGACACAAAATTTAAGTTTCTAGGCTTTATGTATAATTCGAGTTTAATGACCATAGAACTTACACCCGAAAAACGAGACAAGATTTTTAAATGGTCTCAACTTTTACTTAACAGGAAAAATTGCCAGATTATTACACTTGCAAAATTCTTAGGGATTTTAACGTCAGCATGTCCAGCTGTAAAATACGGCTGGGTGTATACCAAATTTTTAGAAAGGGAAAAACATCTGGCTCTGCAACATAATAATGAGAACTATTATGCGAAAATGATTATTTCAGATCCTATTCGAAACGATATAAAGTGGTGGCTTTCTAATATTTATACAACAAAAAATGATTTGAGGAAAGATTCATTTGACCTTGAAATTTTTACAGACGCAAGCTTAACAGGCTGGGGCGCTTTTTGTCAAGGCGTAACTACCAATGGATGGTGGGAAGCTGGTTATAAGAAAGAACATATCAATTTTTTGGAACTCCAAGCTATTTACTTTGGGTTGCAATGTTTTGCCAAAAATTACTCTAATTGTAGTATTTTAATTCGTACCGATAATACTACTGCAGTTTCTAGTGTGAATAAGATGGGTAGCGTAAGATTTTTGAAACTAAATGAAATTACGAGAAAAATTTGGCGTTGGTGCGAATCCAAAAATATTTGGATTTTTGCATCATACATTCCGTCAGCTGAAAATTGTCATGCTGATAAAGCTTCTCGTGTCACGAATACGGAAACTGAGTGGGCTCTCAACAATGACATTTTTTTAAAAGTCATAGAAAACTTTGGCTTACCCGAAATCGATCTTTTCGCTTCCATGGAAAATCGTAAATGTCAAAGGTTTATCGCTTGGCAGATAGACCCAAAAGCCGAAACGGTTGACGCTTTCACTATAAGTTGGAGAAATTTAAAATTTTATGCATTCCCACCATTTTCTTTAATTTTAAGAACTTTGCAAAAAATTTTAAATGACAATGCATCTGGAATATTAGTTGTACCGTATTGGAAATCACAGCCGTGGTTTCCTCTTTTTGAGAAAATGATTGAAGGTGATCTGCTACTTTTTGGACCAGCGGATAATATTTTATTTTCTCCTTTCAGCGATCAGAAACATCCTCTGGCCTCGGTCCTTATCCTGGCTGTAGCCAGGTTATCAGGCAAGCGTTTCTAATACAAGGCATACCGAATAATGCGATAAACGTTATGGAAAAATCCATAAGTGACAACACATTAAAGCAGTATAATTCAACATATAAGCAGTGGTGGAGTTTTTGTGTAAACAAAAACATTTCACCTTTTGAAAAAAATAGTTCTCATATAATATCATTTTTTCAAAATGTTTTTGAAACAACAGAAAACATGTTTGGTACGTTTAACTCCCACCGCGCTGCTTTATCTTTAATAACTTCGCACGATTTAGGAGAGGATCCTCAAATTAAAAGGTTTATGAAGGGGATTTTTAGGCTTCGACCACCGAGACCAAAGTACGACTGTACATGGGATCCTCAAATTGTTTTGACTTATTTAGAAAAAACAGAGGCAGATTCTTTAAAATGTCTTTCCCATAAATTAATCACGTTACTTGCCTTAGGAACTGGCCATAGGATGCAAACTTTTTCTCTTATAACGCATTCAAATATTCAATTTACTAACGAAGGAGTCAAAATTTTTGTCCCTGATTTTATTAAGACATCCAGTGTCAATTCAGTGCAACCTTGCTTAGATTTACCTTTTTTTAACAATGCCAACTTATGTGTAGCCTCAACGCTTCAGAAATATTTAGAAGCTACACAAAATTTGCGACAAGGGTGTCTTAAGCTGTTTATCACGTATAAAAAGCCTTATAAACCTGCTACGAAGCAAACTCTAAGTAGATGGGTAAGGGAGACCTTACAGGCAGCGGGAGTCGACTCGTCAGTTTTCAAACCTCATTCGATTCGACACGCATCCACTTCAGCCGCATTAAGAAATGGACTCTCTCTGGACTCCATTAAAAAAGCAGCAGGTTGGAGTAAAAATTCCAACGCTTTTGCTCGGTTTTTATAAGCGTCCAATTAAAGATAAGAGTTTTCTGGCTTCGATTTTTGAGGCACAAAATAGTTAAATTCGGTGTCTTATAGTATAATTACTATACTTTTTTGTTACCTTAGTACCTATAAGTTTGTTTTGAGTTCTTTCGTAAGAGATAAGAATATTATATCTCTTTTTTATACTTACCTTTTTGCGGTTACCACTTACCTAATACGGGTAAATTAAGAAGTAAATTTTGTTTAGTTGTTGAGAATAAAAGGTTTTTTTCATTTTACGCGCAGCGTATTTTTTATGTCCTGTTTTCGGTTTCTGCTTTAAACATCTACATAGTAAACAAATTATTGTAATATTGAGGACTGGACCTGAAATATAATTAATCGATCAAAAGAACTTACCTGAAGTTCGATCGTAATTATATGAAGGTCCAGTCCGAAAATATTACAACCCACCCACCCCCATCCATAATATACCGAAAAACAGGGTGGGATATCTTTAAATAACAGTGAGAAGCCGGGCGCGGAGCATCAAGGAGGCAGGATTATGATGAGGCAGGGCCGGACTTATTTTCTTTAAACATTGTGCTCTAGAGTAGAAGAACCATATACTACATAGTAAACAAATTATTGTAATATTTTCGGACTGGACCTTCATATAATTACGATCGAACTTCAGGTAAGTTCTTTTGATCGATTAATTATATTTACGTCTAATAACGTTAGTTGTATAACTTGACATTCTTGTTGTACTAAGTTCCAGATTAACACATAAAGGATAATGGTCAGAGATTTTGTGTTGAAGGACAGATGAATGGATCGATTGCAGGCTGGATAGAACAAAGAAATGGTCGATTAACGATCTTCTTAGGAGACCGTCTCGTATTTCCTCTCTTGTCGCATCCAGTATGACATTAATAAATCCTTTTCCGTGAAAAATATTTTCATATTCCGCAACATTGTTGTTTGTTGTTTCCATCAAATTGATGTTGGTGTCGCCAATTACTAAAATATTATCTTGACGTTCGTGACTTGTTAGAATTTGATCTAATTCATCGATGAAATTAATAACGCTTTTTTCCGGTGGTCTATAGATAAACAGCAGTTCGAAAGGTTTACGGAAATTGGGTAAATTCAGTACAACGTGAGTGCATTCAAATTCAGTTGCATGTGTTTGAAGGAGTTTGTACTGAATATCATCCCTGAGATATAAGGCTAGGCCTCCACCTTTCTTTTTATCGCGGTGTTTCATTATACATTGGTAACCATCTAACTGGTAGGCGGATTCAGTGTCTTTGTGGATATTTATTTCTGACAGAAGTATTATGTCAAAATTTCCCGCAGTGAACAAAATTAACAGTTCATCATAGTGTTTTTTTAGACTACGTATATTGAGATGAAAGATGTTTAAATAATGTGATTTATTTGACGGGTTCGTTTCAATAAAATGTGTCCATTCTGCCATATTTACACAGTTTTTAAAATAAACAAAATTACTTTCTAAATTATCTTCTTCCATGGTTGATAAGTAACTCAAAGTTTGTCAACATGAAATGTAAATAAACGAAATTGTTCTTAAAAGATATAAAATTTGGCTGTATCAATGTTTATATAGATATCTAATCCGAACTAAACACCTTTTCTATCACAAAAATAAATAAATACGTCCAAGTTCTTCACTTCGAAATGTGTTTAATTAGATGAGTTTTTCTACGTCTTTAACAGAATTGACACTTAACACTTTGGCACTATCGTCCTTTTTTATTAATATGCGTCCATTTTTTATCCACGTATACTTGTACCCAAGCGCGGCAGATTTTTTCCGTGTTTCGCGAAATAGCAGTCGGTTTTCAGGTGTGAGATGTTCATTAAAATACAGACGTTTAGTAGTTTTTCTCTCCTCCTCAGAAAAGTTTCTCCACCACATTTTTCCCATCTTAATAAATTTTTCCTTATTTTCCACGGTGTGAAGTTTGACTAATAGAATATTGGAGCTTTTGAGATTTATGAGATCCACAGTTTTATAAGGTATCCCTTCACACCCTATTTTTTCTGAGATAATTTTGAACTTATCTTCAGGTGAAGTTGATTTATCTCCATCCACCCCATGAATTTCTATGAATTTTCGTTTTTTATATTGCTCTAATTTCGTGACGCGCGCGGTTAATGTTTCAATTTGCTTATCCTTCGTCTCCATGTGTTGGTTCAGCGTTTTTATTTCATCCTTTAATTCTTTATTTTCT